CTGAAATACCTGTAAACTAAACGATCAAGCCACACAGTGACAACAAAAAGGGCAGGCGTGTGAATAAAATAAGCGTTTTATATTTAGTGTTGCCCATTTGAAGCCTGGTAAAAGAATCAATTTAACACTGAGTAAATACTATATATGGATAAAGGACGACAGAACAACGGACATATGTGAAGGTCCAACAACACAACACAAACATGTGAAGCACACCCACGGCCAACCCTGAGAGGGCCCCTTTCCTCCAGCAGAGAGCAGACAAATTTTAGCACAACTTCTTCGATAGCTGGTTCATTATCATTGGAGTATAACTGAAATAAATTATGTAACACTAACTGTAGACTGTTGGGTGACTGCGGCTCATGTGGTAGAACAGGTTGTCTATCAATCAGAAAGTCAGGGGATCAGTTTTCTTGGATTACTGTGATACTGAACCTTGTGTTGTCCCTGATGCATCCGTCGTGTGAGTGTGTGTGAATGTTAGATAAAAGCATTGAGGTATAGATAAAAGCACTGCATGAATTTGTGTGAATGAGAGATGTAGCAGAAAGTGCTCGAAATGAGTAGAAGTACCAGTCGAAATAAAGTGTCACAGCTGCTGTCACTAATCATGCAGTAACTCGTTATTACTCGTTATAAGTTATTGTGCGAAACCCTGCCCACTCTAATTAGATCTTTGCACATTCTTACTGCGTAGACAAGATATTTAAATAGAGCAAACTTTCCTTAAATGCTCAGTGTGGGTCACACATCTGTCGCTCACCCTACACTGAAGCTACAGAAGTGTTCTCAGTTTCGGTTGATGTTGTCTAAACATCTACCTGGTAACACGGACTGCATCCTTCGCAGCTGCTGCTGACTGGCAGTGGCATGGTTCATTCAAACTCCACCCCTACAGGGGTATACTTAAGAACCCAACATAGGTCTACATACTGTGCTTATTTTTTAATGTCCATCCAAACTTCTGTAGTGCAGAACCACTTTATGTCTGACAAAAAAAAAAACGGCTGCTCTCTAAAGAACCCATCCTTTAAACTGACAGTTCAGCTATGACATAACATCTGAATGTGCCTCCAGAAATAGCTTGAAGGCACTGCTGGCATGTGCAATTTTCTGCACTTTATAACCTTTCACCTCTATGTTATGAATTTCTGTTTCAAATTTAGGCTGTGGAAGTGCTGAAAGCTGAACGTGTTGGACACGGTTACCGCACTCTGGAGGACAAGGACCTGTACAAAAAACTGCTGGCTCGAAACATGCACTTTGAGGTAAAGCACTGTGTGAAATTCTCAGCATTTTCATTATAAACATGAATCATACGCAAAGTTATCTAATCTATTAAATGTACTTTGCTCTTTGATCATATTGCTCATTACAGACAGGAAATGAGATTGTTCTACTAGATAATTACATTGATAAAGTGGACTGGAGGGCTACTAAGTATCTACTTAGCGACAGTGATACACTGACCCCTAGTGGAGAATTTGATGTTTGCCTCTTCGTCAATTCCTTGCATCCTTTCCTGCAAGTGGAAGAGACAAGGAAGAGACACTTTATAAAATCAGACCTTCTCACAGAGCTCTGTTTATCGTTTCGCTGTAGCCTCCAGCTGTATTTTCTGGTCTCAGATGTCAGCTGTTGATGATGGTTTATATATTTAGGTCTACTGCCTTTAGATAAATTCACAACATGGCAGAATGTGACAAGGACACTATATTTGTGTCCTTTTCATGCAGTTGATCATCTTAAATAAATGAAACAACATATGAACACAAAGAAACCTTATCTTTAGAGTGCTTCAGCTGCATATATACCAGCTATATGTCATGGCTCTTTTATAAAGTATACAGCTGTGGATCCTCAATTTTAGCTCTTGCAAGAAGTTCCTCTCTCCTCTGTCCTTCAGATGTATTTTAGGAATGAAGACATCCTTTGAGATGGGACACTCAGATTGATTTCACAAGTAGGAAGTTTTGAGGAGTTAAGGAGGTACAGAATAGAAAAATGAGAAAGGACCTTGGAGTAGTCTCTGATGCCTTAGTGCGGCACTTAAGGGATCTATGGCATCATTAATTCCAAGTGTGCTTTTCCTGCCACAAGTCAAAATGTCTACTGTGAAAAAGGTGTTTTAGAAACACCTCATCTTGTGTTTACATCCTTTTGTTGTAAGGAGAATCAGGGAAGCATTGCGGCGACCTTTGTTGTGATTTGGCGCTATATAAATAAAATTGAATTGAATTAGAAAAAGAAAGACTGGAATATTTTGGCCTCTCAGTTTTGCCTTTGCTGTTCTGATTGCAGACGTGTCCTATTTCGAGTAAGCTAACAGGTGCCTGCAACCCAGACTTCACTAAACACCCCATCATCACGTCAGTTTCTTTTGTTTTTTTTATAAAAATTATTCAATTATTTTATTTAAATATTAACTAACTTTGGGCATCTATTCATTTTCGTGCTATTTCTTTCGTGCAGGTTCATGAAAGACAAAGCTAACTACTCTCTGAACACAGATGACCCTCTGATCTTTAACGCCAACCTGCATCACGACTACCAGGCAGCACACCAACACATGGGATTCACCGAGGAGGAATTCAAACGACTGGTGAGATCAAATGCATGAATAGTCATAGCAGTAGTTCACAGGAAGAATTCATTTGAATATGGTTTGAAAAGAAGGCAGGGGGTGTAATTGCAAGGTATATTGCATCGCTAATTGAAGCAGGGACCAAACCTTCCATGGAGAAATAATCCACTGTTCACCGAAGAGCCTCAGACGCATTTTAACCAATGCACCAATTGAGCTTCACATCCAAGTTCCACCAGGTTTGGAATAATTTTCCAAGAGCTCATTAAAAGGATGGTGACACTGACATTTTAATTGGCTTTTTTCCAAGAGCAAACTTGGATCAATGCTCATTTAATCTTTATAGCAGATTGTGAAGCTACATCCAGGAAACAGCTAGCATAGCTCTATAGAGGTAACGAATATGAGCTATAAAGCTCAGTAATTGCAACATTGTGGTTAAATAAAGACTAACATAATGTAAAAAGGGCACATTTTGATTTTACTGGAGGATTAATTGCCAGACTATTTCCTGACCGGGAACAGTGACGGAAGAGAACGCCTGTCATCACTGGGAGTATGACAGGTGTCTTTTCCTGCCATATTGCAGCAGGATTCACATAAGCTCTGGTCCAAAGTCACCAATTGTGGAGTTAAATTTAGTTTTTTATTTTATATATGATAAGCAAGCATAAGTATTCAAAAGCACAACAGTGCCATTAAGCAGTAAGCTGCAGCATTCTGCATCGTTTCGGTCTTCATCAATCTCATCTCATCAATCTTTGCTGATTCAGGACATTTATTGCAAAACTAGCAAATGCAAATTGTGTTTTAAAGATTAATGCTTCAGTAGCTCCATATATTTCTCTGTGCATTTATCATATAACATCTGTATATGAATTTGAAGATGCACAAGACACTGTTTTTCTCCTGTACCTCTATATTCACTGCACATACATGAGTATGAAAGTTCTAGCTGACTGCTTACTGTTGATGAGAGTGTTCCCAGATTCCTGAACCATTCCCTAAAAGTTAATTCCCCAGCTCAATGTGAAATCTATCTTTTTGTGTCTTGCAGAACATTTGCGCTGCACAGTCAAGCTTTCTACCTGCCAAGGAAAAGGAAGAGCTGCTTAAAACACTCCGTGAGGCCTATGGGATGATCCAGACCACTGCCTTTTAACCCGGACCAGCAATTTTGAGGAGAAACCTACAGCAGGGACAAATCACTCTGAGACCTTAATCTTCCATGTGATGCAGTGGAACATGTTTTTAGTCATTTGTAACCCAACAAACAACATACACAGAATATTACATCAGATATGCTGTTTACCAATGGGTAGCATCCTTCATCTTACATACCTGTATATCATCTGTTTGTGTATTTAGCAACATTGCATCTGATTACAAGGTGCAAGCACAAAAACCACAAAAATCAGAAACTATACATCAGGGGTCCCCAATCCCAGTCCTGGGTCAACACACCTGAATCGCATGACTAGTTCATTACCAGGCCTCTGGAGAACTTCAAGACATGTTGAGAAGGTAATTTAAATCAGCTTTCATGGATCAAGGCCACATCGAACACCTGCAGGGACATCGGCCCTTGTGGACTGGGATTGGGGACCCCTGCTATACATAATTTAAATTTGGCTGTGCTTTTTTTTCTCTTCTTGCACATCTCTAGATCGCTTCCAGCACCACTGCTATTTTTATATTGTTCCATAGAAGGCCCATTGTGTACGCTTGTGACTTTCACCACAGACCTCCAACTGAGAGAAAACATCAGCTGTGATGGCACACGTGGCATTAAAGGCACAGAAGATTTTTTTTAACACAAAAAACACAAAATCTTCACTCAAAACCAGCCCTGGTTACCAGAATTGGCTCCCTGTGGCTTCATCTGCCTCGTAAAATGAAAGTCTAATTGAAGGTGTCTGGGCTAACTCTAACATGACAGGGAGAGGAGGTCATTCATGGTGGAGCTACTCTTTTGCATTGAACAGATCTCACTGAGGTGGTTCAGGCAGATTCAGGAAACACCAGATTGTCTCTCAGTTGGCTTAGGAAAACACTGGAAGCTGTAGGAGGAGCATATACTGCAGTGGTAGGAAGACAAGTGGACAGAATAAGATGTCTATGAAGGAATCTAAAAACAGCAGCTGTGCTGGAAGTGGTAGAGAGATGCAGAAGAAAGGAAGGAAGAATACCCAAATGTACATATGGGGTTTTTGCATTTTTATGGGCCGGATCCCAGATTTCTTTGTAATCATACTTAGTATTTGCATAGCTTTAATGTGTTAGTTATGGGTGCTTGTTTTGGACATAGTCAGGATCCCCTGCTGTGTCCAAAAATATATCATGAAACATATTGTGTTATATCAGAATATACAGGGTGAATCAAAAAGAATCATCCGATTTCAATGTGCTTTAATTCTGCAGCCGTTGACTCCAGACACGTTCGCAAAAGTGTGGGAGGAGTTTGACTCTCGTACAGACATACGCCGTGTGGCCCGAGTACGACACATTGATCACTTGTGAACGTTTTGTATGTAAAATTTTATATTCAGCCATATATTTTAAACTTTACTGCAAGCTTCTATGTCCATTGTTTAAAAGAAAGCCTTTTGAAATCGGATGATTTTTTAATACATCCTGTATTTATCATCTTGTGTTTACATCCTTTTGTTGTAAGGAGAATCAGGGAAGCATTGAATGCACAATTACACTTCTAAGTAACAGGTTTAACACATAACCAGACTGGAAAAGGAAAGATAGGGGAGGTTATTTGTGGTTCACACCTTAAACGTTCACGTTTTAAGAAAACCATGACGTGAAGGATAACTGAAAGCAGTGGAGGCTAAGAACTGCAAAATATAGTTCACTTTGAATATCCACTGTTCAGTTGCAGGTGAAGTATCGTAATCCAGTGTTAGAGACATGTGCTTTTTCCCCTGTATGTGCAAAACTGCAGGGCGCGTCAGGCGAACACAGCTCAATACCAAAAGTTTAGTCTTACATGTGTACACTAGGTGGCACACTACTGTTACCTAGATAGACAACATCTGACTATGGTTTTGCATTTGATAATTACTCTCTTTACTCTTGTTTGATGTATGTATTTATTAAAAAAATAAAAATAAAAAAAGCACTTCCATTTATAACCAACACATTTATGGAATTTATAAGAAAACAAAATAAAAGCTACTATAAAATGTTCCTGCTCGCCATCATTTATTTTCTGTCACAGTTTAAATCAACGGTAACTTTAAATATCTTTCAAAGGAAGCCCGATTATTAATATGAAGTAAACTCTGTGATCGAATCATTTATCAAAAGCCTCGTAACCCCTAAATGTTGTAACTAAAGGTTTCTTTATTGTATGAAGAGATAAATGGGTGTAAGGGGCCAAGCTATGTGGAAATGTAAACATTAGCTTCCTGTGGCCACTAATACACACAAAAGCAGCGTTCAGTTTTATTTATGGTTCTGGTGCAGCTTAACCCCGAACTCATTAATCCTGGATTGGCTGAGAGTCACCACCTTCACAACTTCTCTGCCTGCTCTGGTTCAGATTTTAAGTACGGCAACCTGCAAAACATAGTTAATTATCAACGAAAACATAAAATACGAACGTTGCGGTAATTCATAAGTATTTTATTACACAAAGAAAATTGCTATCACAAAGTTATCACTGAACATTTAGCAATAAATATGAATTTCCATACACGACAGTAAAATGGGGACTATGTTGGTAAATATATAAAGAAAAGACTCGACCGTGAAACTGAACACCAGGATCACAAACACACACACATACATAGAAAGAAAAATGACAAACAGATGATAATGAATACCCCTCCATGACAGTCCCACATTAGGCTGGAGCAACATTTCGAGTGTTGTTATGAACGAATTCTGTTTAGCTCAGTCCATCTCCGCAGACCTTAATCCAAAGTTTCTGTGCTTTCTTCTCTCGTCAGGAATATAAATAACTAACAGAGTATAAAGCAAAAGCGCAGCATCTCAGCTGTCAGTTCTACTCTGTTCTGTTCCCTGTGGTACAATCGGATTCAATAAAAAGGCGAACATTTGGAGCCCCTGAAGCTCCAAACAGGCCGGCAGTGAGCGAAAGTGTCCTCATGTCCAGTCAGGAGAACCAATACCAACACTCTCCATTTCCTTACTCCACGTCTCTCTACTTTCACCTGCTTCCTCTCTACATTTCTCTGCCTCCCTTCGGTCTCTGGCTGAGCTTAGGATGGGCCTCCGCTTCCCTGGGCAGCTTGGCTGTTGGAGCCCTCCGCCTCTGGGGCTGGGGAGGACCCTGGGTCTCCTCCTGCCAGGTCAGGGAGAAAGAAAAAGTGAAAGATACTTTTAATTGAACTCTAAAAGACATACGGCAATCCAAGTAGTAAGAGAATCCTGAGGAAGGAAATACAACTTCCTTCAGCAGCCCAGTGTTAGTATGATTTGACTCTTCTCACAATATCAGCATCCTGTGATTTGATTTATCTCGGTCATTTAATTGTCAACTTATGGGAAAACTGTCTGACTGAAAACAAAACCAGCAAGAACAACCGTGTAACACACAACTGACATTAAGACACCTTCCTCTTAAAAAGTAGACCTTTGACTAAGACCGAAGGAAGCCACAATGATGTGTCACTGTGCTGCAGTTACAATTAATTTAGCACTGAGACAACGATCAAATCTCACCGAGACCATAAACTGAGTGAAATTGTGTTTCTGTGGTATATTTTGGTGCATCTAGTACAGGCGGTGTTTTGTCAAAGAGATAAGACTTTAATGTGGCTTATATCGAAGTAATAGGCGTGCACAGATAAGCAGGAATTCTTCTCAACTAGCTTCAGGATGATGAATTGTGGTTAAAATAATTTTTTTTCAGAGTAGAAATCACAACAGTTCTTTCAGCTCCGGAAGATTTGGCAGATTAAATGTGCCATTCTGGAAGAATTTTACAGATATCTGTGAGAAACAACAACAAAACAAATGACTTCTAGTAGTGTGAAATCTTCATGTAGCTCAGGCCTCTATAAGGTTCTCACTGCTGTTCTCCAACAGACTCAAAAATAGTTTTCCTTCTCAGATTTAAAGCCATGTCTTTATTTTATTTGCCTGACTGTAATCGCAGAGGGATGGAGAAAATGTGATTTTTCTTTACTTTTAGACTTTAATTCATTTAAATGATTTAAGTGGTGTCTCATCAGCATCAATTAATCTTTCTTACAGTCAACCAAACACCCAAACTGGTCTAACCACAGACTCTAACCTAGTGTCTCATGCGTCCTCGTTTTACGCCTCTGAACATAATTTTAAAAATCATCAGGTCTTAAAATTAGTTAATAATTAAAATACAACCTCAGATGAGCAACATAAAAAACAGTATGCTATGATTTATTAATATTAGAAAACAAAAATGAAAATACAGAAGCCGAGAAAGAAAGACATGATGATGTTAAAGAAGCAGTTATTTCTGTGCATCAGTAAGGCCATATCCAAACACTTTGAATAAGTCTATCATTCTACAAAGATTATTCAGCAGAAAAAAATGTCCCAGTGAAATAACCCCGAGGTCAGATTGTGCAATGCTCGGAGAAATTACAATACACCCCAAGAATTCCATTTCAGTCATTTCAGACAGGTCTCAACGAGCCTTAAAGTTTGTGACAGTACAATTAGAAATAGACTGAACAAGTACGGTTTGTTTGGAAGGGTTGCCAGGAGAAAGTCTCTTGTCTATAAAAAGAACATGGCATCTTAGGTTTGCAAGATTGCTTCTGAACAAACTGCAAGACTTCTAGAACAACTTGCTTTGGACAGACGAGACAAAAGAAGAAAGGTTCAGCTATCGTTGGCAATCAAGTTGAAACTTGATCATGCATGCCTGCACTTTATCAAATTTCAAGTCGCTGCTTCTGAAAGTGGTTCTACAGGCTATCGAATCATGAGGGACACTTACTGTAGTTCTTCATGCACAATTCTGCATTTTGGCTCAGTTTTTGTTAAATAAATAATGACATAGTGCAATGTGTCATATGTTACTGTTTATATGAAGTTGTATTATAATGATTTAAGACCTTCTAAGAACCTATTGCTGTTTTTTTAAATATTATTATTTGGGGTTTTTTTTGTCATTATGTTCCAAATTAAGAAACCTACATTTAACCCTTTAAGACCTACCATAGAACCAAGTCCGCCAGAGCTTATATTATATTTTTACATGTTGTAGTGCCATTTTTGGGAGCATTTCAAGTTGATATACATCAATATAACCATTATAGCCCAAATTTTAATAATATGTTTGCATTAAGTTCATAGTAATTACATAAATTGCAAAAAAGTGCAATAAACTACAAAAAAATTTCAAATCCTTTTTGTTTTTTTAACATATATATTTTTAACATATATTTAACATATATTTTTTAACATTTAATATATTTCTAGTTAGAGAAATTTAAGAGGCTTATCCCTCAAAACTATAAATACAAAAAAGTTGCAAAAAATAGTTTCCCACCACAGGAAATTAATTTTAAGTGTCTTCATAGTTTTATTTTTGAAATACACCAATTTTTATATACTGCAGGAAAAAC